CTAACACGGTGAAACCCCATCTCTACTAAAAATACAAAAAAATCAGCCAGGCATGTTGGCAGGTGCCTGTAGTCCCAGCTACTTGGGAGGCTGAGGTGGGAGAATGCTGTGAACCCAGGAGGCAGAGCTTGCAGTGAGCCGAGATTGTGCCACTGCACTCCAGCCTGGGCAACAGAGCAAGACTCCATCTCAAAAAAAAAAAAAAAAATAGCAACTTATATCTAGAATAATTAAAAACTCTGAATACTCAGTAATAAGAAAACAAAAAACCCAGTAAAAAAAATAATGGGCAAAAGCTCTGATTAGTCATTTCACCAATGAAGAGATGTGTTGTGTAAGTATCTAAAAAGATACTCAGCATCATTAGTCATTAGTGAAATACACATGAAAATCAGTGTGATACCAGTACATACCTCTTAGAATAGCTTATATTAAACATTGACATTACCAAATGTTGAGGGAAGATGTGGAGCAACTGGAACTCTCATACATAGCTGGTAGGAATGCGAGATGGTATAGCTACTTGGTTAAACAACTTGGCATTTTCTTATAAAATTAAATACACAGTTACCTTATAACTCAGCAATTCCCCTAGACATTTACCCAAGATAAAGACAAATATACTCACAAAAACCTCTTCACGAGTATTTATAGCACTGTTATTCACAAATGCCAAAAACTGGAAACAAACCAAATGTCCACCACCTTATGAATGAATACACAAACTGTGGTACATACATATGACTGGACACAATTCAGTTATGAAAAAGAACCAACTACAGATGCATACCCCAACATGGATAAACCCCAAAAGACTTACGCTGAGTAAAAGAAGCCAGATTCAAAAGTCTATACTATATGACTCCATTTATACAATATTCTGGAAAAGGAAAAACTGCAGGAACAGAAATCAAAGTAATAATTGCCAGGGTTTGGAGATGTGGTGGAGGGGAAGAAATTGACTACAAAGAAGTATTTGAGAACTTTTTAAGCTGTTGTAAATTTTCTCCCTCTTAATTCTGGTGGTCGCACACTTTATAAAAGTGTTAAAATCATAGAACACTGTGCACCAAAAATGAGTGAATTCATTGTAAATTATACCTCAGTAAAACACCAAAAAATCAAACAGATGTAAAATTTTTAAAATAGATGATTAATAGTTTCAAATGAATTCTTCACATTTTAGTAATGTTCTGACAGTTATAAGTTAAGCTTTTTTAATGCAATTTATTATATATAACATGTTAATATATTAATTTATTCATACTAACTCTACTTGAAATATGTATATTCAATACATTAAACAATAAAGGCAAAATAGTCTAAGGGCCAAAATGTAAAAGAGTAAACTGTATTCAAGACAAGCAGAAGAAGCAAAATATATATCTTGCTTTAAAGTTTCAGAAAAAAAAGTTATTCAGTACAGTTCAACAAATATTTATTCAGCATATATTGTCTCGATCTGTAAAATAGGCAGCTTTGCAAATTTTAATGGCCCCAAAGAACCGTTCAGAATTCCAAATCTACATTACTTTAAAGTAAGTTAGAAAATACCTTGATTATATTACAGAATCCACTTTCTTAGAATAATACCTGGCCCATAATATGCAAATATGTGCATTAGTTATCTTATTATTTAAATTTCTTCCACTCACCATTATTATGCAAGTTTAATAATATCTGTTGAAGTTGCTTTTGTTAATGCTTACCCAGCAGCCACTCATCACCACTGCCACACTTTCTTTCTACCCAAAGGTCACTTTTGTTTAGGTATTCCCTGTCCCTTAGATAGCCATGTGCTTTCTCAAAGGAAAAGAATACCAATCCCAGCCCCAAGGGACATGTCACAATTACTATAAGCCAGACATGGCGCCCTCCTTTCCTTACCATTAATTGATGTAGCATGGGTATATGATGCAAATTGGACGAAAGCAAATAGAAAATCTTCCAGAGGGCTTCCGGGAAAGGTATTCTTTGCTGATCAAGAACCACAAAGGGAGAAACAACCTCTTTTCTACTGATTGTGGTAGCCTCTGGACTAAATGTGTGAACTGCTACAGCAATCTGGCAACCAGGAGCAGTGCTAGACTACAGAAGAGCCAACTCACTGAAAAGAACAAGGCAGAAAAATGAAAGAAGCCTGGCATGGTGCCTCCTGCCAGTAATCCCAGCACTTTGGGAGGCTGAGGCAGGAGTGTTGGTTGAGCTCAGGGGTTCAAGACCAGCCAGGGCAACAGGAGGAAACCCTGTCTCTACAAAAAAATAAAAATAAAAAATAATAAGAATACAAAAATTAACTGAGCATGGTGGCATGCGCCTGTGGCCCCAGCTACCGAGGAGGCTGAAGTGGGAGAATCAACAGCCCCGGAGGCGGAGGTTGCAGTGAGCCAACATAGCACCACTGCACTCCAACCTGGGTGACCGCGCCAGACCCTGTCGAAAAATGTTAACTAATTAAATAAATTTAATTAAAATGGAAGAAGCCCAAGACTCTCCTGATGTCCCTGAGTTGCTGCATCAATCCCAGAACTACCTCCACATCTCCCGTCATCTGAGATAATACATTTTCTTTACTCCTTAAGCCAGTTGGGTCAGGTCTTTCTGTTATTTGGAGCCAAAAGCATCATAACTGATACATCTTACCACAAATACATTGTTTTCCATGGGCTGGTAGGGGAGTGGGAAGCTAAGATCACAGAAAAGGAATCAGGGGATGCCACATTTATTTTTCAGTCCTTGAACATATAGAATAATATTTATTTTAGTTGTTAAAAATAAGGATAAGATACCAATCTAAAATGTTGATAATAGGAGAAACTGGATGCAGGGTATACGGGAACTCTATGTTCACAGCTTTTCTGTAAATCTACAACTGTTAAAAATAAAAAGGTTATTTGCAAAAAGGGATAAAACAAACACAGTAAATAAACAAAAAACAGTTTTTAAATGTGAAACTCATGTGTATAGTAATATTTTACGCATGAACAGGTTTTATGGCAAAATTTCTTTACTTATATAGTCATTTTCATGCATATCCCTGCAGAGTTAAAGCACTTCCTAAAAATGTGAGGGAGAACAGGAATTACTGCGTCCATTCAATAGATAAGAAAACAATCATACCGGAGAGATAAAGTGACCTGCAGGAGGCCACACAGTAATTAGTGACAAAGCCGAGAATAGACCTGGCCTCTCATACAGACAACTTTGCTTTTTCCTCTCTCTCCTCTTAAAATAGGAAGACTCTTTTACAAAGCTCATGGAAACAGAAAATTTTCAATTTGGTGGAAACTATTCAGACTATCTGATCACAGAGTGATAATTCAGATGCTTTGAGGTAAAGAATATATTTTTTCTCTCTTAATTTTGAAAAGAACGTAACTGGAAAATCAATTCATTGAGCAAAACCTCATTATCCCAAGCACCCCCAAACACCTCAACTTTCACCAAACCTTAGCAACTTACATTATATGCACAGTATGCTTAAATTCCATGAAAAGATGACTTTATACAATTCTATTTATTAAATAAAACTAATCATATTCATTAGAATAAATGTATAAGCAATGGGCAAAATTATCATATATGTCTCTTTCAACTACTTTGCTAAATATAAAACATTCTTATTCTGAAAGCCTTAGTTGTTTACATTTCTTCACATAAATTTCATGATGTGATGAAGTATGAGTTGAATATTGTCCAGTGAGGTCATATATGAATTCCTGATGGGCTGTATAAAAACTTTGCCCAGTGTCATACTGGAACACAAAGACTCCTTTGATTATTAAAAAAAAAAAAGAAAAAGAAAAAAAAGGAAAAGGAAAAAAAGGCAGAAGATTATATCCACCAGAAGGGTCTGAAGGAAAATTAAGGCTAGAACATTAATAACTTCACTCAACAAAAAACTAGTAGGCCATACCAGAGAGCATCCAGTGTTCTCCCTGCATTTTAAGGAGAGGCAGACAACTGTCATTCTGTTGTGATAGGCAGCTGAACCAGATCTATACCTCCACAAAGTATATTGACAGAAGATTGATCAATGACAGTGAAGAGAGCTTTGCTCTTGACATACTTCTTGGTCTGTGATTAGGCCAGTGGACTCAAGAGTGGGGAGCATTTATCCCAGAGTATATGTAGAAAAAGTATATGGGAACCTGTATTTGCTTTTTAATCTTAAAAAATAAAAACTTAATTTTATTAATATTTAATATATTTTACTAATTTTACCAATATTTTCCAATATTTGTAAGTAAACACTAACGATTTAGAAATAATTTGTAAATAAATGCACAGAGTTTAAGGGTGTGTGCACAGTTTTTTCCCCTGACAGCAGTATGTGATCAATAACAGCAAGGATCTATAGGTACCATCTATGAGTGTCCACACTCATTTAATACAAATTACACCCTGATTTTGACATGGCCATCCAAATATATTGATCTGCTATGTCTTAAGTACTTCCAAGGGACACACTCACTTTTCACATGTCTAGTCTCAACCTGGCAGTAATGTACTAGGCACCACAATCACAGAGAGTATACTATAGTTGAAGTGTGATATACCATTTTGCAAATGTCTATTATGTTTAGAAGATTAATATACTACACCACAGGAGAATAAAAATAAGAAACCAACTGACAAAAAAAAAAAAAAAAAAGAAACCAACTGACTTTGGAATTATTAGATCCGCTGGTAGTGCTATGGTGGCAGATACTAAAATAGAAAGACAGACTATAAATTAGCCAACCAATGAATAAGCATGTTAATGTTAAATAGTGATAAATGCGGTGAAGAAAAGACAATAGATGTGACAGAGGCTGGGCACGGTGGCTCATGCCTGTAATCCCAACACATTGGGAAGCCAAGGCAGAGGATTGCTTGAGCCCAGGAATTTGAGACCAGCCTGGGCAACATAATGAGACCCTGTTTCTACAGAAAATTAAAAAATTCGCCATGCATGATGGCACACACCTGTGGTTTCAGCTACTTGAAAGTCTGATGTGAGAGGATCACTTGAGCCCAGGCAGGCACCAGAGCCGATCTTAAAAAAAAAAAAAAAAGAAAGAAAGAAAGAAAAATAAATATTGTAAGTTGAAATGCATTTTTTGTTTTTTTGAGATGCAGTCTCACTCCGTTGCCAGACTGGAGTGCAGTGGCACAATCTTGACTCACTGCAACCTCCACCTCTCAGGTTCAAGCGATTCTCCTGCCTCAGCCTCCCAAGTAGCTGGGACTACAGAAACTCAGGCAGTGGGCCAACCCGCCCCAGCTAATTTTTTTGTAATTTTTTTTAGTAAGGATAGGGGGTTTTTTCAGCTGTTCTGGCCCACGGGGATTGGTTCCCTTTGATCTCTTTGACCCTTCGGTGGGATCTGGCCCCACTTTGGCTCCCCAAAGGTTTTCTGGGATTATTGAGCCACTGCCGCCCCGGCCTTTGAAAAATGGTATTTTAAAAATTAACTAACCTACTGAAAAAACCCGGTACGCTTTAGTCCCCTACGGCCCTACCTTAAACATTCCTTCCAGAACACACCTTACATTAGCCCACAGTTTTTTGGGGCCAACAATCATCTTAACCGTAGCTTATTTTCTATAATAAAATGTTTCGGGCTGTATGGGATACTTGAAGTATGGGTTTTCCTTCACCTGAATGCCATTGGCCTTTTGACCTTTGGCAAGGGGTTAAAAACCCATCTAACGGTTTAACGAAACCTTCCATACATTTCGGGGAATTGGTCCCTTGCTATAAATTTTTACCCAAAGTTAAAAAAAATCAGCTTTTA